AGGGGGCAACAGAATGGCTTCTACGGTAATTGAGCTAATCCCGGTGACCCCTATGGAGTCATCAACCACGCACGTGCCATGGTCTCTGCCACGGTCCGCACCGCATGATCGCGCTATGGCACAAAACGCGCCTACGCCGGTCGGCATTGGAGAGCACCTGAGGTGAAAGTGGCAGCATGCGGAAAGCCTGTGGATGAAAAGGAGGTGATCTAGACACGGCCAAATCATGTCTCCTTTCTAGAAAGCATCCAACTGTTCAAACAATGAACCCAGCGGCACAATGATCTCATCAACCTCCCCAGAACTTCGTCTACGACCAATGCTTTTTCCGAGCTTCAAGTCTTTCACCTCTCCCATTCCCACGATGGGTTTTGAGGCTCCTCACTTTCACAAGCTGGACAGAAGGTAGGAACTGACCCCACCCACCTTCAGGAGCCCGTTGTGGGACTCCAACCGGGGAATATGGAGGATCATGGCCCCAACAGGCGAAGGTCATCCCAGATCCAAGACTGGCCCAGTCGATTGGTACTTTTGGACGTCCCGTGGGAGGTGCCCGAAACTGGTCTCCCTTTGGAAATGACTCTCTCTGTCTCTCCGTCTCACATGCAGAATATGACGGCAATCAACCACCAGTTTGCACGTTTTGGGTCGCTTTTGGGTTGGAGACCATCGCTAGTAGGGTGGAGGTCATCGCTAGTATAGGGATGAGGCCATCGCTAGTAGGTTGGACGCTATTAGGTACCAAGAAATCCCCCCACCAGTCACTTCTGGGCTCGCAGAATCCGAGCTCTTGGGTACATGACACTATCGAATCGAGCGAATCGAGCGAAGCTTGCTCCGAATTGGAAACCGCGGAAAACCGCGTCCCCGAAACCAAGGTGGGCTTGGAGTTGAGGCGCTCCCAGGAACCTGGTGGAGAAAGAAACACATATTCCCTCTACCAGGACCTCCCAAGAGGTGCCTAAATAGCCTCTTTCGAGGCTAAGGAGTGTCCAAAAATTCTCTGTTGGAAGGTCCTTGGTCATTGGTAGGAGGGAGTTGACCTTATATATCCTAAATTACTAATTATATAGAACATCCTTCGAGAATGGCCAGATGGGGAGGGTTTCAATGGTTCAGCACCAAATTTGATAGAAAAAATTTGGGATGCTGATGATTGTGCTTTGATCTTTTACAATTGTAACGTTCGAACTGGTTTTAAGGGACTTCTGGTCCACCGAGTGGCCACTAGTGGCCACAGGTCGTCCCAGTCCGGGACCCCCAGTCCGGGACCGCGCCGGCTCGCCTCATAGGCTTCGGCCACCTCCCGAAAGCGTTGCTCGGCCTCCTGGCAGAACACTGAGACGAACGCTGAAACCAAGTGCTGCACGAGAGTTCTGTCGACAGAAGTGGCACAACTGCTACTTGGACGTTCAATTGCAGAAATGGAAAGGATGTTAGTGGAGATCTCACAAAAATCCGTAAACCAGCAAAGCTAAGAGGTGCTGGACAGCAACAGTAATTCAATACCCTTTTTGCTGTCTTGGAGAGGGTCAGACATGTTTTCTATGCAGCCCAAGCCTTCCGAAACCCTTCACCTGACACAAGAACTTCAATACGAACGCACCAATTCAGTCACAACCCGGGCAGGAAGACCATTCTTCTCTACGGACAGGGGGTGCCATCCACGTCCATCGGACAGTGAGTGGACGCCACGGCCGTCCTCGGTCTGGAGCTCTGTTCTCTTGCACTCGACCAAGCTGTCAAGCTGTCGCACAAGCAACACATGGGGAGTCAAGAGTCACCGTGCCACAAAATGGGATTCATAACATGTCATAACATGTCATAACACTCACCAAGAATTGACAACTTGATGTCTCAAAGTTCAAAGGTGAACTCTGACGGAAAGTTGACTCCTTGACCCACTTCCATATCTGAAAAGCACCGCTTCCCGCTCTTCAAGCGGTCAGCGTTCAACGTCGACCTACTTAGGGGGCCGCCTACTTATAAGTCAAGTTATAAGTTATTGAAAGTTAGATCTTAACGTCCATAAGTTAGGTCCTAACGTATCTAAGTTCATGGCTGGTTAGGTGGACTTAAGTCCTGACTTAGGTAGACTTGTAAGGCTTGAACCTTAAGTTGGGTTAAGTTAGGTTAAGTGCAATGAGCGAATCTATAGTTCGGACTTAGCGGAGTTAGCCATACTTAGCGAACCCATAGAGTTTGAAACCGTTTTGCTGGAAGTGCGCACAAAGCACATGGAAAAATGAAGAATACAGGAAGCATGACACTTGCGTTGGATGCTTGCGGTCTACTGCTGGCTCCTGCGTACCGCGTGGAGAGCGCGCTTGGCCTACTGGGGCCTCTGTAGGACAGCCTATAGAGAAGAGCAGCGGAGTCAAGCACAGCCCGCGAGGAGAGAAAAGTAATGAAAAGTGAGTGTCTCGTAAATGTCTCGTGGGTCGGACAGGGGTATAGTCTCCGCGATGTCTCGTGGTGTCTCGCAATATAGCAGTAAAGGTGGGACGTCCCTAAACATAGCACGGTGAGATGTCTCGTGATGTCTCGTAAGTGTCTCGTGGACTCACGCACAACGTCGAGATTCGGTGGTATTCATTTGAGGGCATGCAGCCGGGCTCAAAAGAACGAGTGCGTATAGACATAGCCAAGTGTCCCTTTTCAGTAAACTGCGTGGCGGAGAGACGTGATGGACGAGTATATATACATTGCGTATTTGATGGTGCGTTGACCGCTCTGATACACTTTGCAACATCGGAAACAAGAAAAAACATACGTGACAAGTTTTTTTTTAAAAGAAACAAGGCTGTTGAACTTATGATCGATTACACGGACTTGATGAACTTACATGGACTTAGGCCTAAGTGGACTTACATGGACTTATAGATAAGTTGTTATAAGTCAAGTTATAAGTAAGCGGCCCCCTAAGTACGTGAGCAAAGCGCGGCTTTGCCGCAGCCAATTCTTCAATATCACGCCGAAGAGAGGTGGATCTACCCTTACCCTTTAGTTCGGAGAGCAACAAATCCAGGTATCACATGCAAACACATGATACATCACATCCCAAAGAACCCACATGAGACATTCATGATATACTTGCTTGCAATCACTCATTTTTGACAAGCCCAACAAATGGTCGCAAGCTCTGCCAGTCTTCATTCATATTCCTCAATCCATCAATCTTCTCTAAACATTGAAAGATTCTCCATCACCCTTAGGTTGGAGGCTCTAAGGGAGGCCATCGCTAGTAGGTTGGAGGCCATTGCTATCTTAGGCATGCGAATGTCTTTTCCGATGTCTTTGTTACTCTCAGAACTTCGATTGTCAGGTCGGGCACAGGTGTTCCTCGCCCACTGGTTTTCTCACATGGACAGGCCCTGTCTTTTGCCCGAGAATCGCAAAAGGTGCTGCAAAAGACTTCGACAGGGGTGCACAGAACCAGCCACAGCTTCCTTAAGCGAAGGTCAATCGTAAGCATTTCATGGGGACTAAAGTGCTCAAACCACCCCTAATTGTTCATTATATCATTTATATCTGTCAGTCTCATGGAGTGAGACGAGACTACATTGAACATATATCATGCAGTGAATTGAACCATGAACATCAAGTCTCCTGCGAGAGCCTGCAGCTTCACAAGCCGTGGTGCGGTGTGCAACCTGTTCTTTGTTCAACTTATCCGGGCTCGCTGGCTGATCAATCTGAGCCCTATCTGAGCCCTGGCAGGTGATTCAAAACGACGCTTGTTGTCAACAACTGCTGGTTTTAGAAAGAAGCTATGCCGAACGCCTTATCCAAATCTTATCCCAGGTTTAAGCTGTTTCGTTCATCCATCAAAGGCAAATTTGCGGTGTATAGTGAACTCATGTTCAGTCCTCTGCGTTCTAGAAAAGGAAAACGCTGGGCGGTAAAACGCCGACCCAATTGAAATTGATTCCCCTGAGCGCCCTCTTTACCCTTTGCATCCATTTACGATACAATCATTATTGGGTATCTCGGTATCTCCCAAACACCCATGGCCCAGCGGATGGTGGATGATGGATGATGATGGGGCCTGGTTGCAGTGCATGTGTTTCCTTCGTGTTTTCTCTTTTTTTTTAAAGTAAACTGTTACATGGTAATGTGGGACACACCCAAACCACAACAATCCCTTGAACCTTGGGTGGTGCTGGTACCTGCTCAGCCTTACAACTACTTGTTGTTACATGTGTTGTTATCTTTTGGTAGGATACGGACAAGAATGGATAAGAATAGTTGTCGAGGACGTGATTTGCAGTTACAAGTAAAAGGTTGTCTTTTGGCATCTTGGACTGGAAATTGAATCTATTCAGGGTAGAAGACTGGAGGCTCCAGCTCAACCCGCAACAACTTTCTGCCCTAAATCCTGATTCATATCTGCACTGGACGCTGGTCGCTTGGTATATCACCCGGAGAGGTGCAATGAACAACTCCCAGTTGTATCCCAGTTGATAGTTCCAGAACATCATGCCAAATTGCAGCGAGTCGCTCATCCACTCCGGATAGCTCAACACTCCCTGAACGATTCCTGAATCACCAGCGTGATGTCTTTTTTGGCCTTCAAATGATGGATTCAGTGCAGGGCTGGATTTGTTGCATTCCCACAGCATAAATTTGGGGCATGGTCGAGCCAAGAAATCCTGACAGCCCGTGGGAGGAGAGCTCTCACAGTACAAACGGTGGTTTGCAGCAATTAGCAAAGGACATCTCAAGTATGCTTAATTATATCATGAGTCAGCAACCAAGAATGGAGCAAATGCTGGCGTCTCCTATCGCTGGGGAACCCAGGGGTTTTTGGAATTCGTTCGGCAAAGGCTTTGCAACAATCAACTGGGTTTGATAGCCAGAATCAAGTGGCGCTGTGTTTGACAAACGAAATATCAAAAGAGCATTAAATTTTGTCTGCCAGGGGCAAATCCAACCAACACACACCTGTAGAATACTGTGACTGGCTAATTTGGAACATCATCTGTTGCCCTTGGGGCCTCAACCTGTCTTAATCTCGGTGCACACTACCTCGCTACAGTATGCTGCAAGTATGCGCATCCAGCCCTGTCAAAAACAGCTGCTGCAGTGGAGTTCCTGCACAAGCCGGACGGGTGGACCATGCCTTCCAAAGTTGCACTCAAACCCAAAGAACCAGGTTTTTGAGTCCAAATCCAGGTCCTGGAATTGATCCTTCCACAAGATGCCCTTCTCTCCACCACGAAGCCCGAAAACAATTTGACAGTGACACACATCCATATGACATGTAACATGAGTTGAATTTGTTGGGCCTGTCGACCGGTTTTTCATGGTTTTTCTAACTATGGTGGGGGTTCACCACCGGGTGGTGAGGCCGCTTCAGTTCGACCGTGGAGCTGGCGCTCTTCTGACCTCTGATTCCGAACGGTCGACTGTCCGACGTGGGGGGCAGATCGAGACAAGTACCTGGAGCCTCCAAAGTGCAATAGAAAATGGGACATGACCCCATAAAAACGGCTACTTGTACCCATTGAACTCGAGGTACGAACGGGTCGACTCCAGGTACCAACGAAAAGGACAACGAAAACGTCCGTCGTATCAGAGTTGGCCACTCTGACATACCTGCTACAGCATGTTCATGGTGAGCGTTCCAACAAGGTTGTCGGCCCTACTTCCGTTGCTCCTCGGTCAGCTCGTTAGGTGAAGCTAGGTCGGCAGTCGTGCATCGCTCAATGCATTTGGCATGTTGGAACTTGTATCATGTAGATCAAACAGATGTACTAGCATGATCTGGCGCCACTCTTCTCGCTCGGACACCGTGAACTCCTCCCGCTGCCGCCCGCGGCTGCAGGCCTCATCCACATTCCTCCGCATCGAAGTGCCGTGAGGTCGTGGCGCCTCGGACCACACGACCGCCCCGCGAAGCAAAGGTGAGGGGGAGAACACAGAGATAGGGTACATGCCAGCTGCTTCCGTTCGGGGTCACCAATGGACATCTCCACACTACTTACAGGTCTCCAGACAGGGCACCCCTTGGAAGCGCTAGGTGATCGCTTCTTTTTGTTAAATAAAGCTTATAGTGGACTTGAAAGAGTCGCACAAAACGTCCAAAATGATCCAAAAGCTGCAAGTATGGAGCATCTAGAAAAACAAGCTGGAGGGTATGGCAGTTTACTCTGAAACCAATTAAACATGAAAGGATGACTGGTACTCTAGTCTAGTGTTCTGTGTTGGGATACGCTTTCTTGGTCAGGCTCGAGCGTTTGCCCTTCCCTACCAAAAGGAGGGGTTGCGGGGTTGCGGGGTGTCAAAGACTACACTTGTCCAAAGTGAAGTAAAGGACCCTGAAAGGATGTCTATTAATAGCTCCAAAACAAGGTCCATTAAGGGGGATCCAAAAGCCACCTGTTGGAAGGGTCGTGGTAAAGACTGTTCTCTTTTGTCTTTGACTCCCAGGGCCTAGCTTTGGGGACCACACTCCCAAACAGTGGACCCTTGTCCCTGCATCTTCGGTTGGGTCCAACTCCCAAGTGACTTCAGGTCAATGAGCAGATGGATATTTTCTTATATAATCTTACACACACATATATATATATTTATTTATTTATAGAGAGAGGGTTTTGGTGCATCTGCTCTGGAAGTTCTAGCGAACCTTGCGTGTTTGGTCATCCCAAATTCTTTGTTTGGTCGTTGACCATGCTTCATATGGCATTGGGACTCAACAACAAACATCTCGATGCAACATGGCCAATTGATTTCGGCCAAACTACATCTTTGTCAATAATGGAGTACAGTATATTATCTAAACTATTCTAAACTCAAGTATAATACGCAATCTATTTTGTGGGTGCCCTATCCCGTTTAGACTACTTAAGTAGGAGGTCATGTCATAGTATCTCGTTCAGACTACTTTAGTGTCATTAAAATAAGAGTATCTTGTTTATGCGTTGGACAAACAATAAATATATACCATGCAGTAGACGACTTTTTGTAAAATGGTTAATGGTTGCTCATATATCCGGAAAATTCTTGGTAGTGGTGTATAGGCTTGGCATTCGATCAATTGGTCAACAGCTCTATTGCTCAACATGTACACTTGTAGTCCATCGTCCGTTCCCCAAGTATGGGCATTTATGGTTATATTATATCTGCCGAGCCCCAACAAACAGAACAAAAAACAAACAACCACGCACCAAACAAACAAATCTCGACGGCCAAAACGGGCCAAATCTCGCAGGGATCTCTCGAGTTCAAACGCCGGTTCGCATTTAAAACCTCGTTCTCCGACCGTCGACCGTCACGCGTTTCAGGGCCAAAGGGCGGATGTGCTTAAAGGCACTCTTCTGAAAGACTTGGTGCACGTTCACCGTCTCGATTCTCTCCTAGACGAACCCGGTCGAGCCGCGAGAACGAACGGAGCGCGAGACGCCGACGCGAGACGGAAGAAGTCACCGATTCGAACAATCAAGCCAGTCCGAGTCATGCCATAGGCGAACTGTTACCCTCCAAAGGCCGGTGAGGACAGATGGGGATAAACCTCCTTTCCGTTTTTCCCTTGAGATCCGCGTAAGACCGTCGGGCGGTCTTCCATCCAAAAAGACCCCGAAAGCGACTGCGAAAGCGCTGGAGGTTTGGATGGTCGACATCGCCGGGGAAAGAATCCAAGTGACTCTAGCCAACTCTCCATCCTTTCGTCCACCCTCAGTAGCCTAGCAAAATGTCGACATATCTCAGGGGCAAAATGGAAGAAACCGAGTTGGCCACCCATCCTACCGTACTTGGAGCGCCCGGAAAAAAACAACAAACACAAACTTGAGGTCTTTGTGAAAATTGTGAGTCTGAGTCAAGGAGTTCTGGAGTTCATACAAACTGCAGCTTTCTCGAGTATGCACATGGCGGAAGAGCTATGTTTTATACTTGCTGGACAGATTCCATTATGTTGAGTCATTGTGGCTCAATCTGGACGCAAAGCCGCATATGCCCTTTTGAGTGAATTTAGTTGCAGTCTTTGATGGATCCTGGCATGTCTTTGTCAAGAAGAACATGCAATGGGCAGTTTGCAAAATTACCAGGTATCCCCGTGGACTTTTACGTTAGGCTATCCAATGGAGATCCTCAAGTGGTAATTGTAGAAATCGTCCATGCAAACGCTGCTCACCTGTGATACACAACAACGATTCTGAGAGTAAAATCAAAGTGGATCGCTAGTCTGTCAAAACCTGCGGGATATACAGTAGATCGAGTCGAGTTACTACACAAGGTCACCCATAAGGTGTAATGTTGGATCTTGATTAGTGAAGGAGGGCCCCATCCTCAAACAAATGGAGGATCCTCTATAATAAACTACCACCAAAACAAATCTGGGTTCCTAGGAGGATTCCTTTTGTAATTAATTGTAGTATTAATTTTCCTTTCTGAAGTTCTTTGTCATTAGGTATTCTGTGCAATCCTTTCAAACTACTACATAAAGGATTGATTAAGGAATTGCTGGCTTTGGGAAGCTGTGAGTTTTGAAGAAGAATTTGAGAAACCTATACTTATCAATACTCTCAGCAAGCCAACCATTGGCTTAGTAGTAATAAACATTACTGGTCGTATTTTTCAAAAGGGAATGTAATTAGCCCTAAATAGTTTTCAGGCAATAACCAATTAGGATCCCCCCAAAAAATAGCATAATAGAGGACCCTTAAAACAAACAGGGTGTCAAGAATCAATGTTCAAACATTTAGCATTATAGAGGGCCCTATTACTAATCAGCATCCAACATTATTCCTGATAGTTGGACCCTCGACGGAGCGGGGGAGGGGCGCAGACTACTGAAGAACGGTGGACTCAGAATGCGAGAGCGCGCATATTCGGACCGGCGAATAAACCTTTTATTTGGATTTCAGTGGGACCTCGGGGCAGAAGTAGACCATATTGGCATATAGACCTTAGATATATAAAATATCAATGTTGATAGTCAAGAAGGAGGGTCACGTTTCAGCTCTATAGAATGGAGGAAGTTTCAGGGCCTGCAACAAGTAGAAAGCATGGATGGTAGAAATTGTATAAGGCTGGACCTGAGTCTATTCCGAACACATGTTTCGTTCTTGTGTTCTTATCAAAGGGATAGACATATGGCAATGGGTCTCTATAGAATTAGGGTACATGGCACTGGAGCCAAATAAACATTTCTACAAGTCCCCTCAAGCATCAACACACCTGACGGAAGGACCCACAATTACAGGAAAACGTAACAAAAACGTTCATGCGTTCATGCACAGCACTGAGGGACTTTGAATTTATAGTGCTCCATTGTGTTCCAATGAGGCAAGTTTTGAACTCAAACAAATGAAAAAAACACACACATCGATCTATAGAACTGCTGTGCCTTAAGTTCAAAACCAAGCCAACACCTCTCTATAGATACGTAGATTTACCTCACCATAACTAAAAAACCCTCTATATAGAATCGCACTTGCAACACTTGCAAAAATCTTCTGGTTTACTGGTTTGTATTAAAATCCTGAAACATCCAAGTTGATCCTTACAAGCCTCCAACATTGCTTTTCAGGGTGCCTACCCCCCCACGATTTTGTAGAAAAGGGACTTGAACCTCTATATATAGAAGGTATGTAGTATGTAGAACCTTATGCCCAAGGGAACACATTCCAAGGCGTGAAAAAGGATTCTTTGCCCGTGGAGAAGAATGATATACTATGATATACTGATATACTTCTTGCAAAAACCAGTTAGCACTCTGATGCCTGATGCCCACTCCGCATTCACCCAAAAAGAATCCAAATACTCAAAATACTCTAACAATATCTAAAGTCTGTCTCCAGCATGTCTTAAGGAAGTAACATGAAGAAACCTCCAGTCTATATGGATTGGCCATGATCTAGAAGCAACCCCAAACCCCTAGTGCACGCGAACTCCACATCGTTAGTCCAAAGAATCAAGTCGTCCTATCGCTTCGGACTCGCGGTCACCCACCAGTTCATCCGGACTCGGACTCGTTCGCGCCCCCCCTACTCCGGTCCCCAGTGAATTTAAAAAGAACCTGCAGCACCAAGGTTAACCATGTTTCACCACCAAAAAACACCCTGTGAAATACCGTGCAGCACCAAGGCTCCTTGGAAGGGCTTCTGCTGGGTCTCTCGTCGGTGGTCTCGGGGGTGTCGGCAGGACTGCTCAATGGTGCGCTGGCCTCGACTACCAAGTCAGCACTGGGCCGGGTGAGGCTTTTGAGGACCTCTTCAAAGAGCACCTCAGCAGAGCTCGGTGATGCTCGGTTGTTTGGTTTGGTCAAGTCTTCCCAAGTACTAGATCTCTTGTTCGATGTGGTGTGGTGGGGCCAATGAGAGGGCCATCTCAGGTCCAACTACCGGGCGAGCAAAACTTGACCCTGGATGGGAAATGATGGGCGTCCTGGGTATCCCGTAGTTTAGGGCTGGCTGTGAGGGCAGCAGCACCAGAAGCAGCAGGTGAGCAGCTACAAAAAAAAGACCAGAAGTCCTCGAGAAGAAGGCCTTTGAAGTGTGGAATGAGACGTGCCCGTGCTGTGGCAGCTCGCCAACGAACAAGACCAGGAAATCATCTTAGCAAAGAAGCAGGCGGTTTACTCTACCCAAGAAGAAAACGCACATGCGGTCACAAGCACGTTAGGGGCAAGCCCGCACACCAAAATAGTCGTAACAGCCCGACCACCAAAACCAAGCGCAGGTCGAACTACTCTCCACGTAACTGCCCTCTGAATGTAGAAATCAATGCATGAGGCGTGATGAGCCCCTCTCTCCTTTTAGTTGAAGCTTCCAAGAACTGTCAGCAATAAATAACACACAATATGCCCAATAACTCAAGAATTACCAAACATGAAACGATGTCATTCCTAGACAAACACAAACCATTCACTGCATGGCACACCTTTTTGATGTCTGAAAACCCCCCCCCAGGGACCCAAGGACATTTAAACCCATGAATGCGGCACAACAGTCAATGGACTCCTTTGCGAGTCCAATGGACATGATCCGTCCCGGCCTCGATCTTCGTTTCCATGCGCCAAATGTCCAGCGCTTTCGCGCCCCCGCGCAAGCGCTGAGCACCCTCTATGAACTCCACCAGCCTTGACGTTTTCGAACTCGGACGGACTGAATGGTACCCTCATACTTCGTACCACATGCAGTGTGTATTTTAAAACTCGAACAGGTCCTAGCTATTTTCGAGGGTACTTGTTGGGTCCAGTTGTCGCGGGCCAATTTTTACTGTGTATGACCTTAAATTTGATCCAAAGCACGACCTGTTGTCGGTTTGGATTATCATAATATGAGTAACTTATGGTCACTTGGGACAACGCTCTGTTTGCACCTTTGAAATGAACCTGGGGGTAAAATGATGTAAAATGGACGTTCACTGCCAGTCAATTTCGCCAACCTGTCGGCATGGGTGGCCAACCTGTCGCCACACATGAGTGCAGGGTGGCGACAAGTCTTGAAGAGCCTGAGCTTCAAAGGCAAAACATGAACCTGCTTTTGCCGCAGGGAGGTGCATGTTTGCTGCATGTTGACTTCAACCTCTCTGATTTCATTGCCAGCATCTGACGTCAGGATGTCCGAACATCAGATCCTTCGAGGCTGTTTCAATGTGTATATGTTGCATGCCTTCTTAGAATCGCTCCTATGTATAAGTGTGTGATGCTTCTGAAAGTCCAACAAGTAATTGCACCACACAAGGAATTCTGGCCCTGGTTTGAGGGCCAAACTTCCAATCCCTTCCACACCTGAACCATGATTCCACTTGACTCAGCGTTACCTTCAGCTCGACCATTTAAAAGAATGGTTGACCTGCTTGTCTTTGTAAAGCGATGAATCCCAGGGTCATTATCACCACGCTACAACGAACTCTTGCAACAAGGTTTGGTTTGGTTTGGATCAATGATGGCAAAATGGCACAACCTTCAGCCTCAACAGGTTGTACAATTGTACAGTTCCTTATCGGCGCACAAAACAAGATTTCAGCCATGCCCATCAAATGTGTAAACTTCAAAATGTTCCTTCAATATTGTCTGAGAGAATAACATGCGAGCAAAGCAGCGTGATTTGTCCATCACCTTGGATTTGCGTACCGAACCAAAAACAAAACTTGCCTGTTATAAACTCCTTAAACAAGGAGCTGTGGCAAAGGTACAAACTAAAACAATCTAAGCAAAATCCAGGGCACCATTGTCGAGGAACTCAAACAAACTCAGCAAATCGTGGTACTCCAACCTCGGCGGCAAACCGACGGGTTTTCCCATTCAATCGATCCCGTTTCGTGTCCCAGAAAGTCAATCCTCGGTCAGCCGTTCAGGCCGATTTGGTCGCTTTTATTGGGTGGTGGAATGGGGTGAACACGTCCCAAAGCCTGATGGTTTCCATTGAATGATGGAGAAAAACAACACATGGTCACCATGAAAACAGTGGCAGTGACTTGGGGTTGGTCCTCCCAACAGCACCAAACAGTGGTGAGTCTACTGCTCCAAAAGGGTAAAGTACTGGTCTTGGATGGTTTGCCCGAGATGGTCCGAACATGTCCAGACAAGTAGTGCATTGCAAGCCTAGAGCCCAGGCACGACATCTTTTTTGATAGGAAAACATACTATGTTGGGTGGTTGGTGGTCCAAGGTAGAGGTCACTCAGGCCCTAGCTCTAGGAACAAATTGAAAGGAACCGGGCCTAGCAAAATCTGTTCTGACATCCTCAGACTCGGCCCACTTGGAAATACGTGGTGGTGCGTCACGAAGAACACTTGTAAGGCTTCAGGGAATCGTGCCGTCGTGCCTTGTTCACGAAAAGAATCGTTTAGACATGTCTAGACAACCGGTAGAAACCATTATACTAGGCAAGAACATCTTGATCGGATCGCGGTAAGAATATGATATGTAGAGTATCTTACCGCGATCAACACAATCCAGAAAACTCACACAGACCCTGAGAACGGCACCCTGAAAGACCCACCGCTCCCCAGAGTCCCCGCGGCCGAGTCCTCCTGGGTCAGTCCTCCGGGTCAGTCCTGGTGCCGGCGAGTTCCGGCGTCCAACGGCGTCCGGGCCAACTCGTGGATCCACTGCAGCTGTTGGTGGATGTGGGACACTTCAAAATATGTTCGAATGAACCCTGCCTCAAGACCTGGAGCGGAGAGCTCGCTCGGTCCTTCTTTTCCGCTCGTGTCTACCCCAACTCCAACTGGCTCCGCTCGGTCCGTCAGTCGTTCTGCGCCTCAAGCTTGAACAGGAGCACCTTCCACAATGCTAGTGCTGCTAGTGTGCAGAAGGTGCTCCACAAACACTTGCTTGGATGTTCCAGCTTGGGTCACACCAGAACTTGCCAGGTCCGTGATCTCCGCCAGCACCTCTCTATTGCGTTTCAGTCATTTTCGGTCATGCCTCCAGGGGCATGTTCGGAGCCCGCGCTTCGCCTATTATAGCATCCTGCACTGCACATGCTCCGTTTGGCATGGCCGTCCCTGAACGGTCCCAAAACCACGCACATCGTGAGCACTGTGAGCACCCCCGCAGCGTTTTTGACCCGAGTAGCACACACATAACCGCACACACCTTTCCAAGCTCCAATACCTTGTGATCTTGGAGAAACCCCTTGGGAAGTTCGGAAGGGTCAAGCTTTTTCATGGTATGAAGTGTGTCTGGTGTAAGACTCTTGCCCTTCAGTTCATGTCCATTCTGTCAACCTTGGCCATTCTGCAATCTGTGTCGTTCGACAAGCCGAAAGAAAGTTGAGGAGCGAAGGTACTTCTGAAAGCCAAACAAGTCGAGATGCTGCACCGGAATCAAAGCATGTAGTATATATAAGACCCAGTGGATCCAATTACCACTATAAGGTGCAGTACCGTGCCGAAAAAAAACACCGCTTGGGCCCAGGGCTGCGGTTTTTTCGCTTCTGAGAGCCACCTTAAGTGAGTATTTGTCTTTGAATCGGGTGACCCTCAAGCAATGGGTTTTGGGATGGTAGACTGGTCTATTTCCCTTCTTCCACGGGGTCGGAACGCCCGCCTGGCAGGGAGACCCCGCGAGTGGCGAAATGTCCGGTCATCGATTGTGAGCGGAAGAGATGACGTGAAACTATAGGCCTCCAAGTACTATACCTTCTGAGAAGGTGTTTGGGGTGGGTTTGGAGGGTCCAAATACCTTCTGAGGAGGTACGACTGGAGGTGTAGGGACAGTAAGGGCTTTGTTTTTCTCAGGGTTGCCGTCGTCTTTAGCCAGGCTCACATCAGCACTCCCTCTCACACCTCTTTTGATGCGAACCAGTGAACTAGACTTCTATACCATGTCTCTCCATGTCCAATTCTTCCAGGGCTAAGGAGGATCAAGTTCTCTACTGACTGGCGCCAATTCACCAAACTTGCCAAACTACATTTGTCACTATAGTCTGCTCTCCAAATCCGTTCTTTCCCAAGCAAAACACTTAGTCGATTGTCTCAGGATGTTTCAGGATTCAGGAAGTTCCCACACTGTGTGGTCTCCAATAGGCTTCACATGCTTAGACCCCTATTATTGTCCCGATAAGACCTTTTTGTCCTTTGTTGCCACTCCCTTCTCTCCATCGCACTCCCAAAAACCAAACGCCTCTTCGGACATTCGGCACCCAAACGGAACACCGAAAAACTGGATCATGCTCGTCGTCCAAGTGGCTCCAACTGGCTCATCCAAAACTTGAGCTTGGGCGACTGCACCAGTTTCTCGAACTCCTCACCCAGAGCAGCACACAGTCACAGCGAGCGGCGCTCAGAGAACTGCATCTTTCCGGTTTGACGCCTAACAGAAACGCTGTTTCTCGTTGTGGAATCCCAAAACAACCATCTGTCCAAAACAGTGCTGTAGTTGGTTGCCAAATCACTCATCCGATCTCATTCATGTCAAGTCATAGCATATTTTAGCCAATCATTCATCCGAGTGATGGGGTTCATCCAATGATTCAACCCATCTCATGTTGTCTCTTTCAACCCAATCCTCCAGGCTGATGGCCCCATCACCTGCGACGAAGTCGAGCACCCCACCGACCGATTGGTGATGGATGGAAGATGGACAGTCTCTGGACACCCCAAAATCCAAAACTTCCGAGTCTGTCAATAGTGAGTCTATCTATAGCATATACTATCTACACGTGCTTCTTACTATTGCTGTCAGGTGACTGTCAGGTGTCTTCCTTCCAAGAGTGCTCGCCTAGATAGAATGGACCCATGAAACCCTCAGGCTGCTGACTGTTTTTGTCTTTAGAAAGACCTTCAGGCTGTAGACATCGTTTTCGGAGAGAATGAGTAAACAAAGAAGAATCCCAGACCGTCCGTGGATGTACATTTACCCCATGTGCGACTGTAAGTCACTAGCCCAATCCCATGGATCGTCTGGGAATTGTAGGAAGTTGGGTTTTCTAATGTTGCAGTGCCGCAAAGCTCTTACAAAGGCAGCCTTTCGCAGTGCTGAAATCGTTCTCAGCCTTCGGCTGTGTAGGTCATTTCCCTATGCCAAGCTGATCGCTATTATCAAAACCCAATATCCTTCAAGCAAAACAACTAGCCACTTGGCTGTGAGTCAAATCAAAACCCATTAACTAAAAGAGATTACCAGACATGGACAACCTTCTATGGTTTGGTTGGAGAGATTCTTTGACCTACCACTTCTAAGACCAAAGCACTTCAACGGCCCCTGAGTCGGCCGAACTGAGTCTGTCAGGTCCAACACTGCCGACCGTCTGGACAGCGTGGACGAAGGGTCCGTGAGACGACACTGCCTTGGTGTTCTTGTGACGAACAGTTGTTGTTTCAATGTTTCTCCCTATGGGGCTCCGATCGTCCCATCTCCGGTTCGGTGGTTAGACTCGACCCCCCTGGCACCCACCCCAAGAACACCCAACCGAAACCAAGGGGGGCGGCCAGAGGAGCCCTAGGGTTTGTTCCCAGAATCATGAAGAATCCCGATCCGAACCAGTGGTGCTCGGCCCTGCCCTTTCACCCCTGCGTTTCGTCTGTCTCCCGGGTCTGGTCGGCTCTGTCTGTCTCTCGGGTTGCAAACCGAAACCGAGAAACCGGTCACCAAAGCATACCAGCTTGACCGACGAACGTCTGTGCATTTTTGTTAAATGCACGAAACTTATGATAGTTATGATAGTAATGTTTCAGTTCTGCCTCTAAATGCGTTTTATTATGATAGTTATGTAAATTAAACTCTTTGAACGACAGGAAGAAAGAGTCCATCGGCCCCTCTGGCTACCTGCAGCAGGGGCTCTAGAACATCTTGGATGTTGTGTTTCTTGATTCATGGATCACAGAAACAATGATTATGATTTAGCATACAGGAATCATCGGGGAGATCATTCATCAAGTTCCAACATTAGGTTAGAATGAGCAGCTTGCACAGTCATCCCACTTGCTGTGAAAAAAAAACACATCTCAATTTCTTCCACTGGGCGACCAATGTCATCAGGTAAACCACTGGGTGACCACTGGCCGTCCACATCAGCTTCCTCACCTGAATGGTCGATGGACTGGAACAGCTTCAAGACCTTTCCTGGGCGATGGCGGCCATCGGACCAGAATGTCCGACCATATTTTTCAGGCGGCCATCGGACATTGACAAGTGCTTAACGCCAAAACAAAGACTTAACGCGATGTGAACCCAGATCGCATGACCACATGACGCGATGATTGACAAGGCCTTCGGTTCGTAGCGATGGATTATCTTCGACTTATAGATTTGGCGATGGACGGCCCAAATGCCGGACACCCCAGATGTTCTGAACCCATCGATGCAAATCCATCCGTCTCTTCGAAACGAAATCCATCGGTCACGATCCGCTCCAGTGCTCCACTGGTCGACCAGGTCCGACCAGGTCCGACCGGTCATATGTCGATACCCTAGGGCTCCGAAGGGCCCATATCCTGAGAGGTTAGGTGGTTAGATAATGCCTGGCACCCACTCCAAGCACCAGACCTCAGGACAATATTAGGCCAGGAGCCCTGGCCTAGGGATATAGGATGATAGACGGCCATGTAGATAGTTGATGATATTTCAACCCCATGGTCTGAAAAAGAACCAGGTACAGGCCATGTAGACCGGAATGGTGTTACTTCTCCAGGTCGGTCAAGACCGACAGACTTGATTCATCAACAGTCGAACGCTGGACATCTGCAACGGGTTTGGTGAGGTTGGTGTCAACCATCTCTTACCCCAACCCAAAGGCTCCGATCGTACCTCCTTAGAAGGTAACCCACCTCAAACACCTTCTTAGAAGGTACGACCGGAGCCCAACAGGGTTAGGATCTCCAATGGTCCGGGTTCCAGGTCCTCATCCAGGGCCCAGTGGATGATCATATGGTGATAATTGTTCACTGAGTGTTAAAGGCAATGGATGGTAATGGGATGAAACCCATACCAAACCCGTATAGTATTGTTCTTCCGATGTCTGGGAACTCATGAAGTGTTTGGAATCTCCCTGCACGGGGCATCCCAAATGGTGCCGGACTGGACCACGAAACACCACCCCGATCAACCCGGGTCAACCCGGGCAACGGTGACCCACAGCCTACTCCAGACTCGCCATGACCTACATAATCTTACTGATCCAATCCAACCCAATCCAATCCAATCCAATCCATCCATCCCATCCCATTCCATCCCATCCCATCCCAATCCCATCCCATCCCATTCCATCCCATCCCAATCCATCCGTTTTCATATTTACAACGCCCAAAGAGTCGGTTGTAGGCCTGGACTTCTCGCTCCTTCTGTCGGAAGGCCAGCTCCTCATCGCTCGACGCAGTCTTCATGGCCTGCCGAGTCGGTCGGTAGGCCGTCCGTCGTCCAAAACACTCCTGGCATCGCTGGTTCAAGAACCGCATCTGCAAACTGGACATGGAGAAAGCGTTTTCCATGGCCAGTCTCCGAAATGGAACCGTTTTTTCATGGATTTATCTGGATTTGGCTCGTTGGACCATCCATGACCGGTGCTCAGGTACTCATGGACGTCTCGTCGTCCTGGGTCCTGGCCTTGCGGACTCTCTTTTTGTTGACTCTGCGGGTCACCGCGGGTGGCTTCTTCGACTCATCCAATCTGCTGAGAAAGGGTGACCAGACCAGGGTCGGGTGTGAGGTGACCAGTGTGACCAGACCATCCGTGGGACCATCCTGGCCTGATAGGTCAACTGTTCCATTCCCATGACCCTTCATGCCTCAACAAAAAGAAGTGACCGCATGGCACGGTGCTTCCAACGGCGGTTCCAACACCTTGCGTAAAATCCATTCCTGCGTAAAAAGTCTGGAATCAACTTCTTGCGTCCATGGAGTGAAAAACGGACCTCGGGCCAGAATCATCGAGTGGAAAACCTGTTGTTTTTTGCCGTTGGCCTCACGAGGCTTTCCTTGAAAGATGTCAAGACGAGGCTTCCACCTGGTTCTTCAAAGTGACCGATCTTGATAGGCGATTTCAGACACAAAGAGATCACCCAAAGCTCACTCAAGAACACTCCAAAAAGCCAATCTTGAAGCAGCTGGGCTGGGAATTTCAAGGGCCAATGTAGTCATATGTTTGTATGTTTTTACAAGTTTAACCTATCAATATCATTATATAACATAGATGCTTTGGAAACCTCCAAGGATGTTTCCACCGCATTTAGCGCCGCCCACAGCTTTCTGTGCTTCGAAATCAGCTCGTTTTGACACCGTATCGCGAAACGTCCGTGGGGGCCTGTTGCACAAACACCGCGGACACCACATTCAGGACCGCGAAGCCCATGACACACCTGACGAACGCCGAAAGACCAAGGCTTCACATCTGACCCCTCAAAGTAGACGAAAGGCATACGGGCGTACAGGCACATGAGACCGTGCTTCATGGACACGCCTCAACCTCTTAGACACCCCGCAACGGGACACTGGTATAAACATCATGTCGACATTGACAGCAAATCCTGTGATCCAGCGGTCTGGCAGCGCAGGCACTGTGATTGGCTTGGTCTGCGGGCGAAACGGAGCCTTCCATGGGAGTTTCCTTGCAATTGCAACTGGACGATGTGTTTCTTCCCCATCAGTGAGACCTGCTGCAGACTTGCCTCAAATTGATAGTGACTGTGTACAAAAGTAATGATACAGATATACAAAGTAATAAGTACGTAATTAGATAAACATATCTACCTTGTGAACATGTGACCCCCTTTTTTGATCACATAAAGGCTTGAAGGCCATATTCATTTTGGGTGTTGTGCATTTTGGTCTATGGTGGTCTATGTATACATCCATACACGGTGACCTCAAATGAACCTCTTTTCTCCACACCGGCGACTGATGAGTCGCCACGTGTTGATTTGGGTGGATGCGGCATGATCCTATTAGAATCCAACATGTAGAATATTGCTTGATACCCTCACACCCCATATGCAGAGGTTATATAATCCAAATGAGAGGGGTTTATGATTAATACTACTCAATCTCCATCCTGGAACCTGGACTCTTGCAAGCCGCAGCCCACAGCTCTGATCTGACACCCGAAAACAGGAGGGGATACCTTATATAGATTCAAAACATGTTTTTTTAGGGTCACCGAACAACCTGTATTTTGCTAAGGATTTTGCACATGTTTTACATTACAACACCAAGTCAAACCAGCCTTGGATGTAAAGGAAGAGAACTTGTATGTGGATCCCAATAGGCGCAGCGGGGGTTCCAGGTCTTTGTTGAGGCAGGAGGGTTACTACTTAGCAGTTGTGTCTGAAGTGTCAGGGATTTTCCTATCCAACCCCAGCACTTGGAGTCTCTGAAAAGCATTCCCAATCTACTTGTGTGCTCCCATGCGCCTGTAGACCAGGAAAAAGACCTCAATGGTGGAGCGAAACCAAAGGAAACAGGCATCACTAGCCGAGAATGACCCCTCAGCTTTCTTGGAATATAGAAGTGACTCTTTATATTAGTGTTGTTTCTATCTATTCGTTGGGCAAAAATACACATTGCCACTGACTCGGCAGGAAACTTTGTGGAAAGGGGCAAGGTATTCTGGTTGTGGGATGGTGCAGCTTGTCAGCTTGCCCACCAACAATATGAAGGCCATCTCATCAACATAAAACCATGTTTCTTTGTCCTGAATCCAAAAACGTTTGGGTCAACATTTATGTTCAATCGAAAAAACAAGTATTTACTTACATTATCTTACAGTACATGACTCAGTACATGTGTTGGAACTGAGAAGCATGATAAACGTGCTTTGGAAAACTGTGGATGATGGTATACAGTCTTTACCAGCCTCTACCATCTTTATATACCGAAAAAAACTTGTTTCATTGTCATAGGATGCACTCTGATACGACTAGGCTCAATCAATGGGAAGTCGACATCTCCCAACTCATTGCGGTTCAGTACGTTGGCATTCCCAGGTTTGACGGGAGGTTGACCAGCAAGAACACCGACGATTAAGGGAGGTCAACCTACCATTGATTTTGGAAGGATTGGGTTGACTGTTGACTCACATGGGTTCGCAAATCCAAACTATGTTTGAAAATCCCCTAAAAAAACATGAATAATTTCCGTGAGGGACTGAGGGACCTTACTATACTATATTTGCAGTCATTTGTTGATTGGATGAACACCACAGAATATTCCACCAGTTCAAAGTTGGATCCAATGATACTCCATCAACATCACAGCTACAGAGAAGTAACTAGTGGTTCCAAAGACCTGTGTTGTGAAATTTTTGTTGAATTGGGATCAATGAACCACGCACTTTCTGAAACCATGAACAGGGATACTGCACTTCGTCCACTAAACACAAACCCCCTTCACTTCACTCACCTTTCCCCATACAACCTCCCACCCGTCCGGCGAGGCTGGTGGATTCGGCCCAAGAGGCTGAGAACCATTCGCTCACATTGTCCACCAACACGCGGCAGGCTGGTGCCCAGTTGGCGAACATGATCTCCTGAGTGGCGCGGGATGACAATATTCAGGTTGAAAACGACTTCTCAGCAGCCGCCCTCACCGCAGCACCGCAGCGCCGCTTTTAGCTCCGATCATAGCGCTCGCGCAGCAGCAGACGCCTCAGATGGCTAAGCCAGCCGAGTACCTGCTCATGCGCGGCGCCCACACATGTCGAGGCCAACCTGTCCGTTTGTGGAACAAATCCTCAGGATACGCTGAAGGATCGCGAATGTAGGATTCACGTTCACTTTGCAAACCTGTGCATTCCCAGGCAAGGTGCAACCAAGTGGGGGCCACCGTTTGGGAACATCTGGGGCAGAATTCATCAACCCGTTCAGATTTCATTCGAGCAAGGCAAGCGGGGCTAACTGCAGCCCCCGACAAGATCGCAAAGTTACATCTTTTGTCAGCGCAGCGACGTGCCCAACGACAAGCATCGGCATTGTAGCGCTGCCCATGAAACGAATCGCGACGATTCCGGTCGTGATGCCGCTCCCAAAAGAGTCGACGAGCGCTCTCGCGGATGTTATGGAGACACCAATCCAACTTAGGAAGGGCTTTGTGAAGATTCAAGGGAGGCAAGGCAGGGTGTGACCAATGCCAAGGGCCATCAGAAGACCAACCGAAGTGACGCAGACACTTGTTCAAGACCCCGGGGAAACCTTTGGTAGTCCAAACCATCGCATTCGCCGGAGTACGCTTCTGAGTTTGTCTCCAAGCCGCACCGAAGTGACCAACTGTAATGCGAAGGAACATGTGAAGTTGATGACCTCTAAGCAAGTGTCTCAACCACTTGGATCCCGCAACAGGTTCTTGAAGACTCCGGATGACGGCCGACTGAACCTTCTGGATTTCGCGTTGTTGGGGCAAGCGAAAACCCCAACCCCAACAGACCTTAGCCAAAGGGCCTGCGGATAACACGGCCTTTTTTGTGGACCAAGACACTGGCAGAAAACGAGCCTTTCGGATCTGAGCAACAGCTTCAGCAAGTCGCTCAGTCTCACGAGGGGTGCTCCTGCGTCCTTGCGAGCCACTAAGTTCATGACCAAGGATCTTTGGGTGAGCCGAAATCTGAGCCCGATGTACACCTTCGCCCTGAGTGGCGCGGGCGCGCGCGCGCGCGCGGAGGACAGATGGGTCTGAACAGATTGGCCCATCGATAAACTTCCTGATCGGCATTTTTCCGAGACTCAAGGCCCAAAGCGAGCTTTGAAGCTGACCAAAACTGAACTGTGCACTGGCTGCTTCGGGCTAGAAGTTGTCCAAAAGCACACAGATTTCAGATACACAAAAGACGCTTGCAAAGCAAATCGTGCCTTCCTAACAGAAGGCTGCCCAAAAAAGAAACGGAGAAAGAATCGGTCTTGAAGAGCGTGCCCAAGAGAAGGCAGGCAAACATAGATCGATCTACAGGTTGCACTGGAAAGGAGGGATTTGTTTTTGTTCTAGTGAGAACCCCCTGTCAGAGCAAGAGCAGTGAAAGTCACTGCTCGGATGCGCCGGCCTGAAGGCGGACAAACCGTGCCACACATTGCACGTGGCTGCAACGCACCCCACGCGCGTAGCTGCGCAGCGGATGCTGGTGAACTCCGTCCTTTTTCCCTTCTTTCTGTTCTCACCCGCCTGTGCTTGGTAGTGTATTGTCAATCTCCATCCAAGATCTATCATGCAACTGTTATTTGTTGTTCTTACCGGTGATGGGTCTTTGCTTTTCTCATATTATACGTCATACCGATGGTAGTTCTCAAAAGGTCCAGAATATGCGCAGAGCTGCTTGCCCATCTCCAGGGACTGGATCAAAACATTTTTGGTGCTGAATCAATTGCTGTTTTGAAAGCTTTCATTGCTGCGACTCATTTGCGCGTAGATCTTCTGTTGGTTTGTGATAACCTTGCAGTCGTCAGACGTGTGAAGCAAATCCAAAAGACGGGATATTTGCCTCAGTGGGCGCCGGACTTGTGGAAGGCCTTAAGCTTAGTCTGCTCCACCCACGAAATTGCGTGGGTGCCTTCGCACGACAAGCTTCTTGATTGGACACCGTCTCTTGCTGGCCACCTGGCCGAGACTTGGAGACTCCTCAACAAGAGAGCCGATGCCAGAGCTCAGGAACAGGCTGCCCGGTCTGTGCACGAGCTTCTTGATTGGAAAGTTACCTTTGATGCTGCAGTGGCCTGGTCTGCTTCAGCGCTTGATAGGCAGCGGAGTGCTTTGCGGTTCCTGAGGAACCTCATCGCTACTTCCGCACCCAGCTGTGATGTTCCTTCTGTTGGCTTGTCCGCTTGACGGAAGCATGAGTTGACATGGTTTTGCTGTCTTCGCTGCAGCAATCACTTTGCCTTCGCAGGGTTTCTTTTCGCTGAACATTGAAGTCTACGGATAGGGAACTATCTACCTTTGGCGAACTTTTCTTCGTTGGGCGCTGTCCGCCTGGAACACTGCCTCCAGCCATTCATTCCAATGAGCCCAGGCTGTGGCAGAGCAAGACTACACACACACACATACGTCTGGCGCTGCACCTGTTTTGGTGCGAAAATGAAAAACGTGCAGCCCAGGAAGCTCCATAGAATATACCACCTCCTTGGCTTGCTGTGGTTGGACGGCATAGACTGGAGTTCAGCCCCGAAGATTCATGGATTTTTGCAAAGCCCGAGACTTCCCAACCCCACAATTCCAAAGCTGGCCTGCGCTTTATGTGCGCCTTGCAGCCGCATGTGTCTTCTCCAGGGGGTCGGATGTACGCCCCGGTGCTGGCTGGGGCTGCTGGGTCTCCGCCGCTGTGCCGCTGTGATTTGCGTGGCGAATTGTCTTCTCCAGGGGGTTGGATCTACTGTTGACTCCAGATCCACATCCCAAGGGCCCAACAGATTTGGAATCAAACTCTTCAAGAACCTCCATGAACAAGGGGGAATTCTCCAGTTGCTCATCAAAGCTCCACATCTTCTCAAGTTGCTCCACATTACATCTTTTTACTCCACTTCAAACTTCAGACCCCCCTATAAATCTATTCTATACACCCCCTACACCCAACGAAACTATTTCTACGCCTCCTCACCGCACAACCCGCTCGAACTTTCGCCCAAAAGCACCTGCCCGGCCCAAGCCGTCCAACCACCTCGCCCCACCGACTCCCAAAGAAGCCGACGCGTCCGACTGAACCCTCCGTCCGCGTCCCCATCGCGTCGGAGGCTCGAACATCGAGAGGATCGTTCGCGTGAAGGTTCCATAGTACCTGGCGACGTCCGTGCGGCCGTTCGTGCGGTCGTCGCCACGCTGCAGCCTCCGCTTCGGTTCGGTGGACGGTGACTGGAGAGGGGACACCGGGCCGAGTAGCTCGGTGTAGAAAGAAATGGAAGGAACAGCAATGAGGGGTGGGCTCCACCAAAAAGACAGAGTCAACTGATCACCCAACTGTTCAACTCCTGAGGACACCTATCACTATCTCTCAACTTCTGACACTGCTTGATGGAAATGATGTTCCTCCTTTACCTGGAAACCCGACATGCATTCTGTTTGCGCCAAACTAGTGAAAACAGTTCCAAATCTCTAGGCTTTCAGGTCTGAATGGTTGTTTGATGTTGTTTGCAACGTCATCGGTATGTCTGGGTAGTCTCACCAACCACCGTCCTCAAGACTCAATGAACTGCCACAGGCAGCCGTCGGGTCTGTGTGTGTGTGTGTCTGAAAGTTTTTCGCGATGTAGTTCCCTTCTCATCCAGGTTCTCCACCATAAAATTTGAAGATTCTACACCATTCAGTTCGCATCCTTTGGCACCATGCCTGCCGAAATCCGTAAAAACCTGACATGACGAGTCAGAAGGCGGAGGTCACGAGCGAGTCCCAGGATCCATCGATGGCGGCTAGGAACCGTTCCACAAAACAGTTGGTCAGGCTCCTGTATACTGCAACCCTTCCATGAACTCACCTACAAATCCAAGTCAGTACCTTATCAGAAGGTGATTGGAGACACGGTTATGATCTGTTATGTAGGTGCCAGGAGGGTCAGTGGAGTATCTGATTTTGGCATCTCCGTTTCCACTCCCAAACGGCCACCCGGAACTCTCGCCGGGCGGACGTGAAGACCAGATCTCGAGCAGCACGGTCGTTTTGAGGATCGGAAATGAAGCCTCACTGACGTTCAGAAGCAAATGCGTCCGTTCACTGACGTCGTATGTAGCGAAGTACGTTTATAAGGCAAGGGAAGGGGGTCTGGATCTATGTACTGTGGCATCTACACAATGACGGTAGATGTGTGGTTTGTATTGCTTTTTCATTTGAAAGGAAAAGCACTGAAACATTGACATAATATGGGCTAGCCAGGAGCTGTGGCAGGAATGACAGTAATGACGCTTGTGAATCAAGTCAAAGTCCCACGCGGTCCCACTTGGCTTTTTTGACCAGTCGATTGTCTGGCGAAAAAGGCGGCGTCACCAGCTCAGCCTTACAATGTCACATGACTTCGCAGCTTTTTCACCTCGATCGCAGCCAGGTGTGCCTAAGCCTTCAGTCACCGTGCCCGTCGAACCATAACTCCGTTCGACATGGGTGATCTGGGTCCGAAGATCTGACGTCTATAGGGTCGCCTATACTATTTAGGTCGAGCCCGTGACCGTCGAACCAAAACGACCGTCGCGCGCGACCCAACTTCTCTGCGACGTTCGGGTGCGACCCTCCCAGGTGAGTCGGGTTGCACCCCGCTGCCAGTCAAAGGCTCCTGACCTCGGAGCTGCCTTACTTGGGACCCCCAACCCCCCTGACCTCAGGCATATCCAATGACTCAGAAACGGATTTATGCCGATCCTGACTGGTTGTTCTTTGATCCGTCTTACAATGTTTGTCAAAGGCCCAATATAGGCTTTGAACCCATCCTGTTATGGTCGATTTGCTTCCTCTCGATTCTCCCAAGGCCCAACCTTTCTCGGGTTCTGAAACTTGGAGGACCCCCTCCGCCCGCATCCTCCGCATCCTCGGCTCTTCTGCCACATCCGCTTGCCAAGAGGCCATAGCAAAGCTCGCTGACGATGATTCCCGCCATGCCTGTGTCTGACCCAGATGCTTTTTGTGGTGACGAGCAATTGCACCGAGCGCCGGGGGAGAAGGCTTTCTGGATGACTTGGATGGAAGAAACTGGTTGATTAGGAGCCTAAGAAATCAGGACCCTCCAACAGTTCACCAATTGAGACCTGTACATCCAAAAAGATATTCGATGCGATATGATATGATCCTATTGGAGAATCCTGGTACATGTTGAATCTCATGTATCCGAACCCTCCAGGTGGTTATTGAACCCATGTTGGACGCTCCAGTTATATATTTTGTCCATCACCTTTAGAAGCTACAGGCAAAATACCCACTTCTGAGAAGGCCAGCCAGCCCAGTTTCATGCACGTAGAACCTGGTGTGGTTGGTTGATTCTAGCATTTTGGCAAGCTGACTGAACCTGGTATCCCGCTCTGGGTGGGATATGGGTTAGATTCCATAATGTGTCTCAATCTACGGCAGAGACAACAAAGCCAACCATTCAATGACCACCAACGCACCCTTGTTTCCAGCGATTGTTCTAACTCATCATGACATGTGGATCTTGGAATGATCTTCCCTTTGAATTGCAGTGCCTTCTGAAGATTGTCTGGCATCTTGAATATGTCATCTCCACAAGCTAGTGGTCAGTAGGCACCAACACAAACATTCATGTGTGACCTTTTCTACGGTATGGACCTCATTGGAACTTCGGCAGACAGGCTCCGTTCACCGTTTCAAGGCACATTGAACGAAGCTCATCAAGAGGAAGCTCCAAAACAGCATGCCCACGCAGGCCTGCTGCGCGGACCACAGCGCGGCTTGAACGAGGCGGAGCTGCGGGGGGGTCTGGAAATCTTCTCGGCAATGTGCTGGGTCGCGAATGCAATGGCTGATGAAACAATCCAGCTGTACATGGTGAATATTGTGATGTGGAACGACCCCAAGGATCAAGGATTTTGGATGAATAGTAGATGGCACGATCCCCCAAAGGTGGTTTCTATGGACCCTCATCTCAAAGACATTTGAGGGGGGCTGTGCCATCTATTCTGAAATCACATGAAATCACTGTTCATTCCTTTTGTAGCACCATTTATGGAAGTCATTTACCTCACCACCATGGAGATTCCACGGAGGTTCGAATGGATGATCAGCCAGAGACACACCAGAACACACACGGTCGGAAAAGCAAGAGGAACCCTCCCCAACACTATACAATGAGACAGGCATATTGACCTACATGTGGGATCATTGAGGTCCAGGTGGTTTCAGGGGTCGTCGGTCTATAGTCCAGTTTTATGGAGTGTTTGTGGTCCAGTCCCATGACCTTCGAAGTCGGACCTGGTTTGCCGGTGCCGGTGCAGGCATCCGTTCGCCGGTGCCTCGGATGGAAGCCGTGCGAGTTCCTGCATAGGTGGTTCCTCCTGCGAGTTCGTTCTCCGAGTTTCGAACAGTCCAGATTCTTAGGTGACCGGTGGGCACAAACCCCTACTTGAACTGCCGAACTGAAGGGGATGTAGGCCAGGAGGTGTGATCTCCGGATCTCCGCCGCACCTCCAAGCACTTGATGAGCAAATGCAAAGGCGCCAAAGTACTGGTGATGTTGAACCTCAGTCCACGGCGCCAAGGTACTGGTGATGATGATGGATGTGGCGACCCAGGAATTTCACACGTTATTGGCGGTTGCGATATGCCAGTTTTAAGTGTGATAGAAGGATTCGAACCTGGTGGTGCAACAGTTTCTTCATTAATACCGCACTTCTTGCTGTGGAACACTGTGGGAAACAAAAGAAACTGGCCGGATTTAGAACCTTTTAAACATTTTTAAACTTAATAATTTAATCATGTTTAATCAGTTATCATTGCCATGGCATTTCTTTGTTTGCATTCATCCTGGAACTTTTGGTTTTGAGGTTTGCGCTGGAGAGCCACATAGGTTTGCTGGAGTGCCATGTGCTATATATTCTATATAGTTGGATCTGTGTTTGAGGAGTCAACTCAGAGTCCATAGATTCCCAGGCTGGGTATACGCCGCGAAGCAAGCTTGGGGAACATCGACATATCACCTAAGCAAAACCAGGCTAAGGAAAGCACATCAAGAACATTTGAGTGTGGCAAAGACTTAGGACCTCCACAGAATTAGCCCGTATACCGTGTATATATATAATATACCCGGTTTGGACTATATGTTGGACAAACGTTCTTAGATTTTCTTGCCCGGAGTTCTCCCCTCATAGATCCTACCGGATGCAGAACATTGCTTATTGGACAGTTCTCCAGCAAACTCGGTCGAGGAAACCGTGACACTGAACCCTGAGTGGATGTTGCTTGGAATTGCCGATTTCACAAAGAGAGCCCACCCAACTTTGAACTTATAACGACTTTGTTAACCAAACACTAGTTTTCCAAAGAGACCCAAGGTTTCTGATTTCTCGTCTTTCCTACTGTTTGCTGCACGTCCAACATTTTCAGATATCAAACCATCTGGTTGAAGAGCCCATAAGCGGACATGTGCTAAATGTGCACAAGCTTGGTCAGCTAAATACAGCGATATGAAGGCACCAGTCTGAGTCGACCTGATCTCCCCCCAGAAGACCTCAAAAGACCTCAAACAACTCAACTGTTATCACTGGCTGCCAGTCTCCAACTGATTTGAAACCCTTCGTCTCCTGCACTGCGAAGGTTCCGTGCGACTGACTGAACCTGCGCCAGGCCGCATTCGAACAGACTTGGTGATCTTGACCACACGCAGAAGGCGGATGAGGGAAAAATCAAAGGTGCGAGTCGCAGTGGCGATGTAGAAAATTTCAATCACCTCAGTGCAAAGGTCGCCCAACAAAAACAGCCGCCAAAGTGTGGACATGTTGAAAAACCACACCGTATTTTTTGTGGGTCGTACAAATAGTCTGAACAAAAGAACATAACACAACTGTGATTCTGATCCATCCAAAACCAATTTTGGTGGATTTGGGGACCCGCTAGAGCCATGGAACCTACCACCCTCAGGTTTTTAGGAACCAGGTCCGGGTATAGGTTTTGATCCACCAAAGCTGTCCTGAGCTAGGTGAGACACAATGAGACTGGTTGGGGCTCATTCTCCTACCTGGAGTCGCGTTTGCCTGATTTTTGTTCAGCCATTTTGAGAATATGCCGTAATGACCAGGGAATATGGTCAAAGTTCAGCTTTATCCGTAATGACCAGAAAAAATGTCAGTTAAATGACTGAAATCGCTCGTTATTTTAGGCATATTTGACCCAAATATGGATACTACCCGAACAACGCAAAAAAAAAAAACAGCAAAAACATATGTCACAATAAACACCAAAAAAATATGTTGGCCTTTTCCCGGAAATGACAATAAAAAACACGGAAATAACAGCAAACCGTAATGACCAAAAAAACGGCCACGGCCGTACGACCAGGAAAATTCAGCCATTTGAAGTTTCAGGTAGATGGACAAAACAATGATGGACGCACCGATGGATGCCGGGACATAAAGTGATGGATGTATGATAAAGGACATGACTGAAATGATTTAATGGATCGATGCAATTGTTTTTCCATGTTTTGCCCGGGGTTGTCTTGTCCTGACTTCAACTTGTCATATCCTGCCATATTAGGATGCTAGTAGGCATAACACACATCATTCCAAGGGAGTCTCTTGAGGGAAGCATCCTAATCCCTGAGCTATGCCAAGAGGGTAGACAACTAGTTGCGGCACCCCAATCGTCGAAGGTCATGAAGAGGGCGCTCGGTTGGATCACGTTCCAGTGCGGCGGAACCGCGTAAAACGCCCAGTTGCACATGCGATGCCAACGATCACCTTGCTGAATCGTTCGGTACGCGGGACTGTCCAAGTGCCAGGGAACAGCGAGTGGAAAGGAAGTGGACAGTAACCTCTGGAGAATACAGGGGTTAACATATGGTGAAGATCATGTACCGGCTCATAATATGACTCAACCTCGATTGGAAAACAATCTTTTTGTCAATGGCTAAGTAAAGGTTAACCACTGACTGGATATGTAATATGACGGATATCAGAAGTTGTAATATGAACTGGATACGCAATATGGACATGAGACACAACTGCACCTGCGAAGCAATGGAAATGAGTTCTTCTCTCACCAACCAGGGACGTGAGAGGCCGGAGTTCTGGCAGCTTTCCTGGCGCCATCTGACGAGCCCTTTGCCTCATAGATGCGATCAATGTAAGTAAACGTTCGACGCTTCGGACACTTGCAGGTTTGCGTCCTTGCCACAAGAAACTATAGACTGTATACTGTATAAGGCCCAAAAACCATCGTTGAGATGTGATGTTTGACCCTCCTCACAACAGTTCGTGACTGTTCTGGCACCTCGGGCCGCACCCAAATTGGACGGACCCGACACCACAGAACAGCCTGGGCTCGTTTGGACGGGTTGTCTCCGGAAAACGAGACGACAAGAGGCCATGGGTCACCGAGGGTCGACTGTGGGGTGGTGCGATCTGTGGGTGGTGCGTTTCATCGCTCGACCCTCCAAACCGATGGAAAACCCAACACGGAGTCGTTTCATCCTCTTCGTTGGGAGATCCACCTGGTCAAATGCGATGAAGAAGTACTTCGGTGATGGGTCCAAGCTGGCAACGTCCGTTCTGCTCATGGTCCACCCACTGGATGGTTTTTGGAGGGTCCAGGTCCAATCGCTTGATTCCTCCAGGTCACATCGATGTAGTTCATCCATGCAAGCCAGAACCTCCGCCCCTGGACGAGCCCTCGTAGTGTCACCTGGACCCGCGGCAAACAGGCGCGCATGCCGCGGCCAAGGTTGGGCGCACGGTGCCAAAAACAATGCAGAAGTCCAGCGCTCTTGTTCCTGGACCTTGAAAGTGAGCTCTAGACTCTAGAGATCCAAGAATGAGGTCACTTAGTCCTTCTTTCCTACACTCCAAAGAGGTCATTTTGAAGGTCCTCGGGTCCTGGATGGGAAGAACTTTCCCACTACACACATGATTCGGTGAACACCATCTGTTTGGAGAGAAAATCACTCGAACGAATTCGCTGCGTGGAACGTCCCCTCTTCGTCGCCTCCACAGCAAAGATCACTGCAAAGGCCACGTCACCCACCCTAGGGCCAGTGGATGAGGTGGAACATGTGCTGTGTTGCTTGTTGTTCTGTCTTGTTTGGTTGCCAAACGTCCGTGCTTCATGTGACAAAGCCAGGAGTTGAGGTCTTCATGCGCTTCATGTATCCTCTTAAAGGCTCAAGAAGTCTTAGATGAGAGAAGTCCTGAACTCCTGAACTCTCCCAATGCGGCTCTAAACATCCTACATGCCTAGAAAAAAGGTCAACTCCGCTTTGAGAAGCCTCGCCTCGTCTTGCCAAGGAAGCGTCCAAGGAAGCAAATACCTTTCAAATGCTAACCTCCATCTATCTAACTTGGTCTTCATGTACCAGGACTTGGCCAACGAAGGCCATGTATTCCATGTAATTATGTAGATAAGGCCATGGGGTGGGTGGGTGCTTTCTCCTACAAATCTGAGCATATGAGCAAGCAAAGCGAAGCAAAGTGTAGGGTGGGTTGAACACGTTTTATCACATCCTAAGTCTTCGAAAACACACGGCAAAATATATCCTGCTTCCTTTTCAATGCATTATCCTCCGTGCCATCATGACCATGCCCTTCGGAGTTCATGACCTAGGACTATATCTACAGCTTTCTCGTCGCCGAGCACCAAACGCTCCATGTATGGAATATATGCCTACATTGACCCCTAAACCGCCCCAATGTAGGCATTTCCATACATGGAGTGTATGGGTTATGGCTTTATATGGTGGATTGGACTTGTCGAAGCAGTACTGTAAATCATGGAAGACATCCTGCACGAACTCGTCGGACATGTGACATGTCTCCCTTCCAGAGTAGGGATCACGGATGATCACAGTGTATAGGAGAACCCTGACCTCAGGATACCTTGGGTCTGAGGGCTCTCAAAAGTTACTGGAATGCTAGGGCCACAAAATCCAAGACATCCGTGACCTGTGCTATTTGCCTCTTCGTTTGCCTCTTCCGAAAGTCCTTCTCCAATCAAAAGACATCAATTTGCAAAATACCTAAGCCCCGATTTCGCTGAGACCTGGTCTTCATCGGTGAGAGTTGTGTTTCCGAACTGGAAATTGATTTGAAAAGCCAAAAATAAAGCCACCCATAAACAAATTATGATAAATTATGTATATATTGTAATAGTGCTTGAATTATGTTGATATATAAAGGTGTTCCACACATAAAGACATCGATCTAGCAAACTCAAGAGTTCAGCGCCCTGTTTCCTTGCCAGCACAGTGGTGCTCCAAGCGTCTCGAAGGCGGTGCTCCAGGTCGACGACCTGTGGACACACAGCACAGCATGCAGTGTTCGGTGTGTCATGGCACCTGGAGCTCCTGGCATCGTACCAGTAGGGTTTAGGGTTTAGGGTTTGGTGGGAGCCCTAAACCCAGAATCTGGCAATCTCATCTGTTCATTTTTTGGTGGGGAAAAAACCAAGGACTCAAGCCCACACCAGGCTTTTTTTTTGGTGGGCAATTCGCTGCACAGCCAAGCTTGGCTCAAGCACAAGCAGCCTGGCCGTTTTTAGGAGCGAAAGAGTGGGGAAAGGTTGTGGTGGAGGGTGGGTTTAAATAGATTGGAAAAACCAGGGATCCAGATAGAAAAGATTGGAAGCGTCGATTCTCACTATTTCTCACTAATATTGTATTGGAAACCAGTTCTGTCTATTATTTGGGGACCACGATAGATAGAACCGTCCAACGGTACTGGCTGGTTTTTTTCATCACTATCGCCCATCCCATATGTACCATGAGTTTGGGTCCTAGTCCTAGTTCAGGTCTCAAAACACCGCAAAGAACCTTCCCCACCAAAGCAATGGTAGGTTGACATCCCTGAACCTGAGCCATTTGTTGGACAGGTCAACCGAGGCTTTCCGCTATTGACCCATAGCCATAGCCCATAGCCAATACTTTAATAGAGACTGAACAACCAGCCCTGTACGGAAATCCTCTTCGCAGGCATGGTACCTGGCAGTCCATCTTTGCTTGCAGGCTTGCAGGTATAGATAGTGAATGGTCCTACCATCTACCCTCCTGGGAAGGTATTGGTGTCCAGAATCCTACCATCCATGGAACTGGACTAGTGACATACATGAAAGGCCCGTGTAAATTACACTAAAAAAATACTGGACGGACGGTATCACCCCATGCAAATGACCGGACAGTACATTGCAGGATACATGATCGGAAAAACCGGTAAATTACGACCGCACAAAGTGAGCCGAACGCAGCCCATCCAGATCCGGACTGAGCTTTGGACGAACGGCCTGGAAAGAAATCCTTTCAATCCCCAACATCTCCAAATGGGCATGTCTTGTTTGTCAAAAAAGGAAGACGGCACTCGACCATTCCTGGCTTTGTCAAAAACGGGTGGTGAAAAACCCGTACGGCACGTACGCACACGGTACTGCGCTCTGCTCTTCCAAGGTGCAAGGTCTCCTGGGCGTAGCTGGCCCAACCATAGACTTGCCTCGGACGTCCAAACCGGTTCCGACGGACGTCTAGACAGTCACTTGGAACGCCAGAGCCGTCAGTTGGAACGAAGGACCTCAGACCAGGAACTATACGACCTAAGCCTGGAGGCTGAACTGGAAGCCCATGATCGCGAAGCGTCGCGCAAGTTCATGTCTATATACTATAGACCCTTGATGAATATAAGAACCCATTGGGATTGAATAAGATTGTTTAGATTACTTTACTAATCAAGAGTCTACATTAATATCTTTATTGGCGTAATGACGTAATGGTTCATGTAGTAGAGTTGCAAAGCTGCCTAGCAGGCTTGGAAGGAGTACAACACTGGACTTCTCCGTGGGGTTGCAACTGCCATTAGCAAAACTCACTTTACGCTGATTAGGGCCCCCCCTGGGGAAGTGTTCCAAGACCTAATGAACTTAAAGTTGCTAGTGCTTATGTCAGCCCCCCCCCCACAATGGTGTTGTTTGTTTGCAAGTGTGGTGGCTCGGGAAGAAGTTGAAGAAGAGTGAGGGACACCAAAGTTGTCATTCATCATTTGAAACTGAACAGGAGGCACATTGTGTTCTTTCAATGCAACATATAGATACTTGTATATCAAACGACATATATATATATAATTTACAATATATTGCATTATATTTTACAACATCCACATGTTTCAATGTATAAAGCATACTTAAAACTGAGGATGCAGGTATTACAATGAATAGTGTTAAGATTGATGCCTTCACCATGAAGGCTGAAAATGAAGAACAGGCAAGGGAATTATTGTTTTTGTTGTTGTTTTTTTTTAGAATATGTTTGGAAGCTGGAGAGTGAGCAACTCGGATATTAACTTACCTAATGAATCCTAATGATGCTTTCGCAAATTGTAGAACATCAAGTTGTAGAATACATGCAAGCCTATTTAAACATATATATATATATACAAAGACAATATGTTTGTTTTCTGTTTTTTTGCATTGGGCATAGTCTCCAAATCATGCAACAGCAAATGGTTCCCAAATCATTGTGTATGTAAATAGTGCCCCAGGGGGCCACCCATATATGTTATTTTGTTTACACTTATATACAAATGCATTGTATTGCATTGTTGGAGTTCTACAGCTGTTGGCCGTTTCTCCGTTACTGCCAACGCCACAACCGTGTGACCACCAGCTCCGGCCGACTGGTCCCTTTTCCGCATTGACAGGGGACAAGTGCAATGCCATCCAGAAGACATTGGCCAACAAAAGACCTGAGCCGAGTCAAGCGAAAACCAAAAACAACATGTGGCTTTGGGTCACAAAGACATTTGCCTTTGGTTTCTAATGGCACCAGGAGACCGGCCGGTTGACCTTTTTGTGGTGTTGGTCGTTCCGTTCCAGGCTGTTTGGACCCTAGCGGGCAACTGGCATACAGGATACGGCGTCGATCGATCGAGTGGCTCGACAGCATTATTCGACAGCAGCTCTTCCGCACCATAGGTCGTTTCGTACATCAATCACTGTCGTCCCAAGATCCAACAAACCCAGAGTTTCCGCACCTTCAGGTACCAGTGCCACAGTGCTGAGACAAGGTGATGTGGTGCCATGTGCAAACCGTTGGATCTCAGCCCCAGCTCTGTAAATTAGTACGGTCTTGCTCAAATGTCAAATGGATCAGGTAAGTTTAGCACGAGTAAATCCAGAGCAACTGGCACATAGAAAACTGTTGTCACAACTGATATAATCCATCTCATTTTGGTACTTTGTCTGACCCCAAAAGCACGACGAGTAGTCCACATGAAGCTGGCCCCAAACACAGGGTCGGAGTGCCTTCAGGGATGCAAGTGCTGGGTTTGTGCCTAGTCAACACGACAAGAGTAGACAACCTGGATACCATCATGGAAGTGGAAAACCATGGAAAACCACCGGTCTGGTATTCAGATTTCATGGTCGTCCAAAATGGGGGGCCAGGTTCCACTTCCATGTTGGGAGTGAAGCACCACATGTATGCATTGACCTCTGTTCACCCCAAGTGATTGGCAGTCCTATGCCAGTCCGGATGAATTTGGTCGAGTCGAGTTCAGTCCCCATGTACGTTCGGACTCCCAGGTTCAGGTGGTTCATGTGGTTCACACCCCTGGGACTCTTTATGGGCGCCCTTGATAGACACCCGTGAGTTTCACCCCATTGATGTCGATGGCCGAAGTAGCAAACCATGCAGAGCTCGAAGGGTCTGCTCTGCAGGAGTCGTTGGCACCTGCGAACGCTCGTCTGATGTCGACGCACGGCGGTTCCGAGACGTGATGCGGAGTTTCAACACGAGGCGGTTGGGGGGATTCGTTGAAGCACGGAGGATGGATTCGTTGGAGGTGGCACGTGAAGACGTGTTGGTGAAGAAGAGTTGTATCCAACTCTTGGGGTGGCCCGAACCTGTTTGGTTGGGTGGCCCCGTGGCCACTCATACTGGTGTGACTTTCTCACACCGGACCGTACACATATACAGAACAAAGACATACAAAAACAGTAGATCCACGCTGCACTCGACTACTCTTCATGAACAAATAAGCATATATAAATATATATAACAAATTTGGCAGTTTCCTGGGTCATATTATCCAAGCCATAGCCGGCCTCTTGTCGTGCAATTGTCAAACACACTCCAGTTGTTGCGTACTGTGTACTTTCTCGTCTCAGATGTCACTGACATGTTCCACAAAATCGAGTGGCTCACTACGTGACTGAGTTGTCCAAAAATTGACCTTTGTCATCCTTTGTCCGTTTGGACACCGAAGCCATGTTTTGGTCCACGAAGAACCAACTCGGCCTGACCGGACACCCACACAAGTGACCCTGGTGAACCAGGCAGCGGTGACCAGGAGGTGGTTTCTGCGATCGCAAGCGCAAGGATGGACCCATCTCAACACCGAAGAAGGCACGGCATATACCTCAGCGACGTCCCAAGCGGCTTGATGTCCAAGCCCGGGACCCTCAGCTTGGGGGAAGTGACGTCCAAACCCCCGAACAAAAAGCGACTCCAACCTGGAAACACTTGCTGGGGGGGCACCCTGGCTGTCGATTGGAACAGCTCTCTTCCCACTCCTCTTGCTTTATCTTACCCTCTCCCCAGCTCTTCAAACCTTATGAGATTCCAACGTTCGAAGACGTCTTTGGACCGATCCAGCACCACCCACCTGGTCTGCGGCATCTTCTCCTCGTCACTACCTGCTCGATTCCCGCACGGTCGACCGTGGCGGAGCGTCCCATGCGAGCAGGGTGGTGTTGAGATGAGTTAGGACCTATCAGTGAGATGATCATGGGCCTTTTCTTGGCCCTATGACCGGTCATAGAACACCTCAAACCCCAGTTCTAAGCTGGTAAAACCTGTGCCCCAAAAAGCGAACCCTTCTGCCAAAACCAGTCGGACCTAAGGGAGTCCGAGCCAAGCAGGAAGCATACTATGTCCATGCTTTCCCGCATCTGTCCACAGATATTTTCCTTGGAACCACCTCCCTGCTCACGATTTTGGGTGGGGATCCCCCCAAGAAGTAGCCAGAAGCATGCATATATATATATATATAAATATACCTAGAACCTGATTAACCCCTGTTTTGGAGCCAAAATTGTCTTTTCCTATCAAAGCAGAGGTCAAATAATGGGTTCTATAGGTATATATATACATATAGAACAACAATCATGTCAACAGTTCATGTCTCACCATTGCGGGCGCGAATAACGCATCGTGAAGGACATGCTACTCACCAGAGCCAATACTTGCGGGTCCAATGGACATATAAGGAAAGGATTGCCATGCATTCTCAACTTCTGCTGAACAATAAAAGTAGCAACTCACCCTTTTTGGGCCTCAGAAGCTATGGCTACTACAGGGTTAGTACAGTAACAAAACAAAGAAAAGAATTCTTCACCAACTGTCTGTCAAGAACTGACTCTAAGCATTAATGAACCTGAAAGGTAACTCTGAATCCACCGAGTGTTGCCAGATTCATACAATTCCATATAAAAAGAGCCGAACACCAAACTTATCCATCACTCCCTTGAGCCCTTGAGCAACCAAAGACAGCCCTTTTCATCCTTTTCAGCATGTGACTTGCTTTCCATGCCGAGGCCAGCCTGCAGCCTGCAGCCTGCAGCCTGCAGCCTCTCCATCCTCGCCTGAGGCCAGGATGTCCTTCGTGGCATCCCAAACGCCTAAGATGTCCTCGGCCTCCAACTCGCCTCAGCTCGAACGACCGAAGGGACGGTCACCAGTTGAAACCTTCATGGAGGAATCGGAGCTAGCTCTTAGTATAGATCTCCTCCACATGCCCGACCTTACGGTAATCTACCAGCCACATGTGAGTATCTCACGCCGACATCGAAGAAACCGCCGGCTCCCTGACTCACCAGGCTTGTTGAGGCAACCTGTGATAACTTGACTGTCTTTCTCAACCAGCTTTCGACTTGATGCTCAAAGGATTGAACTTTTGTGGTGCTCGATTCCAATACTAGATGCAAATGAATGAAACATGTCATATAATGACATGGTGAGACCACAACCCAAAGCCATGTGAACCTCCATGATGCTCCCTCGCATTTTTCTGTCCCAAAGCCATACGACGGCTGTTCCCAAACGTAGGAACGCCAGCCGTGGTCTGTTAGTACTAGGGATGTAGGTGCCTTGGTGTCTTGCCTTACTCGTATAGAACAAACTCCAGCGAAGCCGTGTCCCGGCCGTTGTTCCAGTTCAGCTGGAACACCGATCGGTGTGAAACACCCAAGCTCACAGTCAGCCCACCTGAATGGGAACCTTAGGTTGGGTGATTGATGTTTTCATTGGGATTCATCAACAAACGGTGGGTTTTCAAAGAACGTGTCAACCAACCAACGCGACAGTTCATCCGTCCGCCAAGCCGTCGAAGCGAACGGAGACCGCGAAGGGGAAACAGCATCCGTTCGGAGGCGAGTTGAGTGATGAAATCGCTTTGGGAACTCAGTGTTGAGTGATGAAAACAGTGAAAACATTTGAACACCTATAGTGTATATATAGGGTCTTGAAAAAAACACTCAGTTTTTGCAACTGCTATGGTGGCTTCTGCATGCTATGGGTGAACCCCTGAACGCCAGGTGACGAAGGGTGCTGTGATTGACCATCATCGCAGCATCCATGAGGTGTGGCCTCGATTCGAGGATGGGCGGAATCCACGCGACTCCTCCAATCCATCGATTGAGCCGAAGAGGAACGGACATCTCTTCTCTTCCGCGCGGAGTGTAGTTTGTCGCCATGTCACAAAATAAAAGACTAAGGGGAGGAGGACAGGATTTCAAATCACAAACTTTTGTGGAGGAGGCATCTGAAGGAACTTTCTCCACTCTAAGCTTTTGTCAGATTTGGGGTGAATCTTTGATGATTGATCGACATACCATCGTGAAGCTGTTGGAGAGAGGTCTTCCCGACGTTTATCTGCATGTGAATGAAGGTCATACCCATGTGAGTGGCAAACAAACCTTCTTTAAAAGTACCAGTATATATTTGGGGTTGGTCCCCTATCGGTTTCCAGTGTTTTGGAATGCTAACAATAAGCCACTTAATCAAGAAAGGGTATCGGTATAGGGTTGGCCCCTATCGATTTTGCAAGGTTCTGATCAAGTCAGAAATACTTAAGGCAGCTCATGACAATAAAAGTACATGTACAGAAGTTGTGCCGGATCATCATGTGATACCTTCTATCAAGAAACTCTTAGGATGCTCTAGGTATACGGATGTATACGGTATGCGGCTTCCGGGATTACAATGTTTAATCTGCTGAGAAAGGACTTGGTCGTTTGCCGATCGCACACACGGCACCGCAGGTGAACAACAGCCTGCCAACACTCATGGTGAACAGGAAATCACATGGAATCGAAAGCAACTCAATTGACATCAGCTAGTGAGCCACACCTTCTGCCAGATGTTCAGACTGACGTCAATTGGTGGAATAGAATTCGACTTGACACATGTCTGTCACTAAACCCAAACCTAATCTGCCGAGATCGCAGAGATCGCGCTTGCCGGCATATTCACGACGTGAGGTAGAAGTTGCTGGAACATGTGCATCGCATGGGCACAGAAACACAGGAATAGCTCTACATACTACATCCCTTTAGCATGTACCCCTTTGTTGACTCAAACATGATACGGATTTATACACTACCTCCGGGAGGACTCACCCTGGGCCGCCCTCCACATCATGGCGTAACCGGTGCCATCGTTTCTTCCGGTCCGTCGTTGGAGACGTTGCCCGGTCGGACCAAGAGGCGTTGTAGCCGGAGAGCTGGCCCGATCGAGCCTGGCGGACGAAGCTGGTCGACTCTTGATGAATCACCCCTTGGGGTTGGGGGGGGCTGAAGGGGTTATACATTGGGTCTATCCGAGTCTACCTGTAACAGTGGATGATGGTTTTAGTTGCAGGACTTGTTCAAAAATAGTTACACATGTTTACTGACTGTTACAGGATGTTACAGGTAATAGGACAAAGTTATACAATCCAAGTCTGAAGGAGCTTCATCAATCAAAACTCTACATGACTCAGTGGCTGAAGAAGCTTAGCTTCAGCACCTGCATCAACAGTAGGTGGATGTGTCGAGCACCGTCTGCCGTTGTACGGGTCATCTGGCGAGCACGGGCTCGCACCCCACTCTCGAGGTTTTATGCCCAAACCATCATCCATGAGACTGGAATGATATCCCAGACCTTCAACCTGACCTCTTTGGAGTCTCTAAGTAACCTTTTACTGGCCTAAGTGACCTCAGGCTGGGATATCCAAAGGTCACTTTGAAACTACTGGATGAAGTTTCACGCAATACTATCTGGTTACAGAATCCACTAAAGAGTCGAAAGGCCCTGAACGAGGAACAGAACATGAGAGCATCCTCCATATAGTAGTAACCCCGTTGCTCCCAAATGAAGAAATCATAGATCTGCCACTAAGACTTCCGCTTCTGCTGGGGGTAAGGCATTTGCCGGGAACTGGGCTCTTAACATAGGTTTTCTTGTGTTTCGTTTTGATCTGAACCCACCGAACTTTGTTAGGAGAGGCAACTAAGTTCACGTGGCACGAACCCAGGTGGGTGCCAACCCACCCGAATGACCTGGTGCGGAAGCTCTCCGAAGCGAGTCCACTGAAGGCACTCATGGCTGAAGGGCTGGTGTGTCGTTGAAAAGTCCTGAGACAGGACTGGCGCTTGGGCAACCTGTACCGCTCGGGGGAGAGCACCAGGTCGTCCGCCTGGTGGGGGTCCTGGGTGGGGTTTCAGGAGGGACTTAGGAGGGAAACCCGTTGACCATGTGAACTTATAACTTACTAATCTTACTATATATGTACATCGGACTGTACATCTGATCTATACAGGAACCTGACAAAGTCATCCCTTAGTCATCCCTTGGCACGATTTCAATGTCAAATCACCAAGGCAACGCTGTTTCCAAGAAGTCATCCCCCAGTCACCCCCGGGAGCTAATCTCAATGGAACCCTGTTACCAAAACAAGATTTCTCACCAAAAAGTAGACCCAAAGAGTGCAACAAAAACAAAGAGTGTATTACATATGTACAATGGGAAACAATGCGTTCAAAAGCTACAAAAGAACCATCAAATGCACAACGGTTACCCCTTTCCTTTCAGCACACGTCATGCCGCTTTTAGCCCCTGAAATTCAGGTGACTCTGGAGAGTAACGATGGAGAATACGTGACATCAGTGACTTCAATTTATTTGAAATGGCCAATAGCCATGGGGTCAATGGATATGCATGGGTTCAAAGCAACAATACCGGCTGGTGACACGCGCACTGATTCAATGTTCCAATGCTTCAAAAATCAATTCAAAAAATGCATGTCCAAAAGGGCAAAAACCATCCAAAACAACAACCGACCTCTTCGCAGAAAACGGGGCCTTTCTCCCTTGTCCCTTGACTAGCGCCAAACCCTCCGAACACCAGGCTCCGGATTCTTCGGCGTCCCTGATCGCCATGGAGACCCGAATAGACCCGGGCGCAATGGAGCGTTTGCGAAGAGGCAGCATGGATGTAAACATGTACAAATATATCCCAGACGCTCCATGTATGCCATATATGCCTACATTGGGGCGGTTTAGGGGGTCAATGTAGGCATATATTCCATACATGGAGTCTATGGGTATTATAGATTCTAAATTATACCATATATTATAAGTTGATCCTATATTGAACATGAATCTCCACTTCAACTGCAACTGTTCGTGACTCCTAAATGGTCGAACAAATCTTTCACCGCCGGGTAAACCCCGGCGGCAAAAAAGCCGGACTCACTCGTGCGGCTCGCGCATGAGCAACTCTTGTAAACACAAGTCCGGCGCCCTGCTATTGCCTCAAAATCACTGTCCACCCCAGCCACACTGCATGTATGGAATATATGCCATACAATGTAACCACCAAAAAAAGAAACTCATATAGGTAAATGTGCCATACTGGACAACAAATTGCTAAACATTGGCAAAAATGGGCCAAGCATTCATGTTACTGGGAGCGACAACGGTTGGCCCTACCCTCGGCACGTCCCACCTGTGTCTTTTCTGGCTTGCTGAGGTGGACGCCCAGGAGCTGGACACATAAAGGATAAACATCCAAATCCACTTGGTTCCAAAGGCAAAGTCAGCCTGAAACCGTTTCAGCCCACGTGGAGTCAGTTTCAAGCTCACCGGTCCCGCAGTTTCGTGCCTCGATGTAACGACCGACCATCCGCCACGGCACGTGGAGTTCTCCACCTCGAAGTCCCCGGTGCCTCGGAGGGACGGAGCGACGGACGGAGCGGGTCGTGCAATGTTCCCCAGCGATGGGTTCAGAAAGGCCGAGGTTAGCCATCCAGGCGGAAGACAAGAAGCCAGCGTTGCTGATTTCAGCCGAGTTTTTGTCCGTTGTGTTTTGTCCTTTGGAACATGATGTTTCTTTGAACATGATCAAAATGCGTTGAGTTACTTTGAACATGGCAAACTGGCAAGCTGCAAAATGGCGAAGAGTGCAGCAGTATGTTGACTAAGAAAACAATCTGGTGTGCTTAGATGTTTGGCATTTGGCAGTTTCGCACCGAGAAACCATTGAATATTACAGGATAGATCTATAAACTGTTCGACAGGGAGGACCATTCCCAACACCATCGACAATAAACTCAAGATTGACTCAGACCTTCCATGGTAGGATTGGATATCAGAAAGCTCCACCCAAACACTAATCCGGAAGCGCCCTTCTGTGCAACACATTCAATTACTGTTGTTTTTTGCTACTTCCCAACCTTCCTGGTAGTACGGAAAACATACACCCCAAACCTTTCTGAGAAGTGCGCAGTGCACTCCCAGCGTCGACCTTCCTCCAAACAAATACGAAAAAAGGAAAAAAAAACAAGGCGTCGTCCTCCTCCTCCTCCTCCCCATCCTCCTCCGTGCCTCCTCCAAAGTTTGACCTGCGAGGGACATCGATTGAAAACTACCCGAAAACAATCAAACACTGACTGAGGCACAACTTGTTTTACCTGAATGTTATTGGTATTCAAACTGTTGGACACTGGAACGGGAGAGCCTCCCCTGGAAACAAACGATTCACTCAAGTCTCAGTTAACATCTGGAGCAGTCCCAGACGGGAACTTCGTCTGGTGTAGTTGAAAAATCAACAAATCCCAAACACGTCATAGGACTGACATCATACATTGGGGCGGTTGATTGAAAAGGGGTGAATGGGGTGGTAAGAGTGCCAGTCGTCCCATGGTCTGGGGATGATGAAATCAGGGAACCAGGAACCGGCTGAACCAACCCCCAAAAATTGTTCATTGGATATTGAGCAATAAATTCAGTGTCAGGACAACACAGCTTGGGTTTCTTGAGGTATTCCCATGTATTCCAGAAAGGCAAATCTATAGATGATGAGGGACGCTCCTTCAACACAAAACGTCACGTCTTCCATTCGTTGACTTCTGTTGCTCAACACAACGCCAGGTGCAAACATTTGGAAGTGGCCCTTACAACGTGAAACCATCAACACTCCATAAACACTCCCTTCATAACACTTTGGCTGTGGGTCGTGGTACCGGGACACCCTGGGTTCGAACTCCTCCACCCGGTTCCAGAATAGACCAGACATGGTCAACCTACCAGGGTGAAAACGGGTTTGTCTCGGTCGACCGACCCCGAGCAAACGGCGAAACCGAAACACCCATTCCTTCTGCCCAACGAAACCTACTCCTCACCGGCCTCAACGGCATCCTGGCATTCGCTGTGTGGGACTTGGACACTGTAGTTTGGACCCTCCCAGACTCCCGCTGAAGCGTTTCTTGTTGGTCCGTTGGTTTTGGTCTCCTGGTTCCCTGCCCGGTTCCCTGCTCCTACGGCCTCACCTGCTTCCGCTGGCGCTGGACATTTGCCGCGCCCGGATCCAGTGTTCGATGGACCTGGGGCGCAAAGGCGACGATGAGTCGGACGGGCACGATGATGGGGCTATGGAAAAACACATGCGTGCACACATAAAAGACCATATTCAGCTTGAATTTGAAGCTTAAGGTATATATCCTAGGGCTCCAACCACCTCCTGAGAAGATGGTTGGGGTGGGTTTGGGGGGTCTAACCACCTTCTGAGGATATGGTTGGAGCATGTTGGAGCCCTAGGGATAGTCTCATTTCACCCTCCGAGATCGTTTTTGTGGTCGGACAAAACTTAGAAGCCGTTCTATACGGGGGTGGACCCCTACTGGGATATGTGATATATGATATATTAAAAACCTGGCCCCAAGGAATAGTCCAGGATAGTTTGGGTATATCCTATCACCGATGATGATGGTTTTGTTGTAGGCCGACATCTCTAAATGAGTGATTTGCATTGATAGAAAATTACCGACAGTTACAGGTACTATATAGACCCCAAATAGATAGAAATGTACAATTCCCTTTCAACATGTATAACGATTCTATCTACTTGTTTAGATGGTACTAGGACAGACTCAAAGGATTTTGTTTATGGGAAAAGTCCAGTCCCAAGGTCTAACAGATCAGATCGAGGCCTACTGTTGAAGGACCTTGTTTCCCATAAGAACACCGTTGGTCTTTTGGGCCGGGCCCTGTTTCGTTTACCTCTTGATTTGACCGGAAAAAAAAAAAACAAACACTTTGCCCAGGCGAGTCGAACTGAGCTTGAACACCCAGTGACCAGTGACCCCTCCGCAGTTGACAGTCTTCGATGGCTTCCAACGACTGGCCGCTTCTGATGGAATGTCAGCCAACAATAATTACACCCCCTCAGAACTCTTGAGTCAAATCCGAATGACTCTTTATAACCAATCCTTCTGATCCACCACTTGGGAAGACTGAGCCGACTAAGTCTTGACGGGGATGTTCTTCGTTGTTTATCTAATCTCATCTCCGCTTCATGGCCCATCCTTCGTCCTCGCGTCGTCTTCGGTTTCTTCGAGTAACCCTTCCTACCCCAACGGGGGTGCCCCACGTGGATCCGAAGAACGACCCTGTCCGACTCGTCGAGTCTCCAGTCGGTCCGGCGTCGGTCCGTCGGTTGAACCCGCCGAGTCGAGCCCGTCGGTCCGGCCCTTGACTTCCAGCCCCACATAGTGAGAACTTGTGAGAACGTCCCCGTCGTCGAACTGGGTAAAAAGCGATGGTGGGTGCTTGAGGTCACTCGGTGGACAAGACTATAAGTAAGACTATGGTTGCTTCAGAACATGAATTGCTTCAATCAGACTTCATCCCCAAGTGTTCAGTTTAACCTATATATCTTCTATGATGTGAACACCACCACATTGTTCAATGTATAGTCAAATAGGACAAGTACACACATACAAGCATGTCTGTTTCCCATGCAGCCACAGGAACAAAATGTGCAGGTCAATCATGTCTCTAGAAAAAACACACACACTTCGAACTTGGGTTTTTCAGTTAACGCAAGTGTC